CAGGGACTGGTCTCGGAGGCCTGGGAGTAGGAGGTAAGTGCAGAAACCAAATCTATTTCCTCACTGATGGGGTCTAAGTGTCACTCTAGCCCACACAGGTCCTTAAACCTCAGAACCCCAGAAAGTCCAAGCATCAAGGGTCCCTTGTTTTATAGACCAAGTGCCTCTCGGGGAGAGACTTGTCTGAGAACTGGAACCCACTGGCCTCCAAGCCCCTCCCCCAGGCCTTCTCCCTGGTGGCCCCGCCTTCTCCCGCTTTCTTTTGATCCTCCGCACACCCCTAAAATGCTGGCTGAGCAGGTGTCCTCACATGCTCAGAGGCTCTGAGAAACTGAGTCTGAGAGTAAAAACCACCAATCAGGGCTGGAGCTGGGCTTCCCACCAGACGTCTAGACACTGGGCTCCCAGCAGCTCCCTGTCCGAAGGGAGGGCTGCTCCTGACAGCCCTTTTAGGACTTGGAGAGTAAGACCCCACAGTGCTCTTGCTTTGCCCTGAGGGTATAAATAATAAGACAGGGGTGCTGGGGCTCCCCATTCACTGCCGTCTCTTCCCTCTGCAGGCCTGGGACCTGGAGGCAAACCGCCCAAGCCAGGTAAGACCTGAGGTCGTAGGGCACTGAGCAGGGGGCAGGGGAGGGGAGAGCCTACCTAGCAAGGGCAAGAGGCAGGAAGGAAGTGGTGGGCGGTCCAGTCCCCCGGTATGTGCAGGCTGGGGCCGGAGGCCGGGGACAGGAAGCTGGCAGCAGCTTGTGCGAGGAGTGTCCAGCATCTATTCTACAAGGGCCTCTGTGCCCGGCTGCCCTGTCCCCTATGCCCATGGCCTCAGAAGCAGCTCTGGTGCTCAGGACAAAGGGAGGGCTTGATGCTCCAGAGGCCACCATGCTGCGAATGTCACTCTGGGACTCAGACACAGAGGGTAGGCTCCAGACCCCACCTGATGGGCCCTGGACTCAGACCAAGCCCTCTCTAACCCCAGGCCTCTCTGACTCCATATCCCTGACTCTTGATGACAATCTGAGCCCTTGTCCTGGTGCCAAGCTGAACCCTGACTCCAGACCAAGCCCGAAACTAAACCCCAGGTTGGACCCTGACTCTGGCCCCAGATGAGCACCCTCCTTGATCCCAGGCCCCTTCTGGCTGTCCAGAACGTGGAGTTTTCCAGGAAGGAGATGTGACTAGACCAGTGGTCGGCAAACTGCGGCTCGCGAGCCACATGCGGCTCTTAGGCCCCTTGAGTGTGGCTCTTCCTAAGCCTTAGAAGTACCCTAATTAAGTTAATAACAATGTACCTACCCATATAGTTTAAGTTTAAAAATTTGGCTCTCAAAAGAAATTTCAATCGTTGTACTGTTGATATTTGGCTCTGTTGACTAATGAGTTTGCCGACCACTGGACTAGACTGTCCTGGCCCTGCCGAATCTGACACCAGGGTCCACCACCAGTTCCAAAGAACACACCCCCAGGAAAGAGGGAAGGCGTGTCCCTCCAGGAAGCACTGGTGGACAAGGAGCAGGTGGAGGAAGTGGTGTCTCTGTCCAGATGTGTGACCCCACTGGCGTGAGATATTCCACATGGGGCCTTGCGCCCCCCCCCCCCCCCAGTGTCTCCCTGGCTCTGAAGCCGAGGCTCCAGGACAGTTTGGGTGTCCAGCAGCTCTTACGAAACCCGCTGCTGGATGATCCAATTGCAGATGAATCTGCAAGACCCAGATTCCCCCCTCCCTGCCAGCCCATCTGGGTTGTGAAACACCAGGGTTGGGCCGGGCCAGGGGGAGGCAGAAGGACAGGAAGCCAGGGGAAGGGGTTCCTGGGATTTGGGGGTCGACGAGGCCGGAGCCCTTGGAATTCACTGCTTATCCTGCCAGAACCTGCCTCCTGCCTCCTGGGAGGGACTTTCACAGGGTCTCTGATGGTACAAAGAATGTCGAGAAGGACTAGATAAGCCAAGACTTGGAAACAGGTCTGTGCTTAGCCGAGAAGAACCAAATTGTGGAGGTTGTGACTGCAAAGCTAGAGAGGGGATTGGCTGATCTCACTGGGGACACATGGCAGATTGTGATTAGACCTAGGAGGGAAGACTGAGAAAACTGCAGAGAGCCCCATAACGGGGGGCCGCTAAAGTGAAGCTTTTATTAATGATTTAGTTTAGACTTCCGAAAGCACTGTCAGGGCAGGGTGAAGGAGTAGACCCCTAAAAAGTCAGGGTGTCTCCTCCTGATGAAAAGGGGCTGGATCCCACAACCTCCCTGAGGTCATCAGGACTCAGCTACAAAAGTCCGGACAAAGCCACAGCCCCCCTCCTTCCCTCGGCAGCTCCTCACTTCCATCCGGCCCAGGGGGGTGTCCGGGCCTGCCCAGGCAAGATGGAACGGGGCATGGGCAGTGTGTGTCATGCTTAGGAACAATTAATCCCTTGGCAAGTGGAGGGTGGGTGGCCTGGCAGCTGCTCCATGTGGGCCTCAGCGCGCTGGCCCTGCCTGGGCTCTCGGTGGGGGACCAGGCAGCTGGGAGCCAGCAACACCCACACCCTGAGCACCAGCTGGAGGCCAGCCACCCACACGAGAGGACTGGAAGGAATGGGCCACACCCACTGGACACCCTGGCATATTGCACACACTAGGTGCTTTCTGCTCATGATCTTACTGGTCCCAGGAAGGGCAGGGACACAATGACCATTTCTAGGTGGGGAAACTGAGTCTCAGAAAGGTGAAGAGACTCGCTCCCACACGCATGGAGTCGGCAGGAGTAGCAGCATTTGAATCCAGAGCTCTCTGATTCCAGGAAGCCAGGGGGTTGGGCTGGCCAGGCCCCTGGGCTCCCTGCTGTGGCCAGCACCTCACCCCTCCTTTCCTCCTTTCCAGGGGCTGGACTCCTTGGGGGATTTGGACCAGGTGAGTCCAAAGGAAGGAGGGCAAACAGGAGAGGGGCTGGTCATGCTGGAGGGCGGCCTGGGGACCAGGCACCTAGGGAGGAGGCTGGGAAAGGACAGATGGCTCCAGAGAGGTTGCCTGCTCCCACCCCCACCTGTCCCAGCCTCTTGTCACTTCCTGTTCAGTTCCCATCTTCTCGTCCAGCCCCTCTGTGCTCAGGAAAGGTCCCAGCCCTGTTGGAGCTCAGGAAACAGGCCGGGCTTGAAAGAAGCCCCAGACAGAGCTGGGGAGGGGCTGGGCCCACAGTGCTGGGAAGTGAACTCCCTGCCCCCAGGCCAGGCCTGACCCACACCAGGCATGCCTGGGAGGGAGACCAGCCAGAGATAGAGACCCATCTTACAGAGCGGCTGGCTGAGCTGCAGGTGGGGCCAACTCACACGAGTAGGAAATAAGTGGGGGGAAGGGAGACCACACCCAGAGAGAGCCAGGTAGACTCCCCAGGCTTGGCAGTCCCCCATGTTTAGGGTCAGTCCCCAGAGAGGGCTTCCCTGGGCTCAGGGACCCTGGCAGCCAGGCAGCCAGACTGGTGCTCGCAGGAGAGATTCTCACGTAATTGGAAACAAACCCGGCACGCTTGTGAACTCCAACCTGATTGCCCATCCGTCCTAGCCAAAGCCTGGAATGTCTCCTGGAGGGGGAGAAGGAGCGATTGGGCCCAGATGTGAGAAGGAGAGAGCCAGAGGGACCATTTGACTTCTCATAAACATTTTAGCATCCGTCTGAAATCGAGGAGGCTCCTGGACTGCAGGCAGGCTGGATGGACACATAGACAGATGCTGGGAACTGGAGGGTCTCCAGATACAAGGGAGAGGGAATGGGCTGAGCCAGGAGACACCTGCAAGGAAGAAGAGAGGTCTGGGTTGGGGGCTAATGTGGGAGCCAGGCAGGGCCTGGCTTGGGTCAGGTCTTGCTGACAGACTCTACTCAGCTTCCACCTTCAGAGAAAGCCCTGCTGAGTCTCCCATTTGTTGGCAGGCCTTCTAGGGGAAGCAAGGCCTGGCCTAGGTGCATTATGGGGGGTAGGGGGGGAATGGTCAATACAATTACATCTACATGGCACATAGTAGCTGGTCACTAAATGGTAGCTGCTGTTTTATCAAGATCAGCCCCTGAGCACCAAAGGCTTGAGTCCAGCTTGGGGTCTGAGTGGCTGCACACTGACCACAGCCCTGCCTGGTTCCTGCCTGCCCATCATGAGACCCTTCCCACCCAGGATCCAGGAATGATGCCCACACACCAGTCTCTCATCTCCTCACTGGCTCTGTCTCCTTCTCCCTACAGGTGCTGGAGGGATCGCAGGAGTTGGCCCTGGGGCAGGTTAGTATTGACACCCAAGCAAGACGCCCATTTGGGGCCAGAGCCAAGCCCAGGGTATCTGCCTGGTACGTGGGCCAGGCCAGCCCTGGGCGCTGGTGTGAGGGTGATGCTGAGACCACTCGCCCTAAGCAGCTGCCCAGGACACAAGGAAGTAACCGCTGCGTCCTGGGTGCTAGTATGAGGTAGTGCCAAGAGGCTGCAGGGGCCAGTGGAGCCCAGAGGAGTTGCTCAACTCAGCAGGGTGTCAGGAAGACTTCCTGGAGGAGGGGGTGTGGAAGTTTGATCCCAAGAGAGCCTGCAGCTTTGTCAGGCTGAGTAGAACCATCTGGCACATGTTGCTCTCCAACACTGATCCTGGTCCTGGGGACAGAGGACCCTGCTTGGCGTGGAAGTCCTGCAGAGAATAGGAGAGCCACCTCAATGTGCCTGCTGGGCAGGGCTGGTTGGGCTCAGGACCTCACCCTGTCCTCCCCTCCCCACAGGGCTCGGCGCCTTTCCTGGGGGCGCCTTCCCGGGGGCTCTACCGCCTGGGGTTAGCGCTTCTGCAGCCTATAAAGCTGCAGCCAAAGCTGGTGAGTGTGATGGTTTGGGACATGCCATAGTACAGACCCTCTCGCCTCCGTGGGCTCTCCACTTTGCAAAGAACATTTCCTGGGAGGCAGGCGGGATCCTCATCTCTAATCTTCTGGCTCAGAGAGGCAACCAGTCTCCAAGGGAGGTGGTGGCATGATCAGATATCATCTCTGGGCTCTCCACATGCACCAGGTCCCTCCCACCTCCCACTGCTCCTCGCCTCTGCATGACTCCTCGCCTCTCCCACTCCTGGCTCTGTAGGTGCTGGGCTTGGCGGTGCTGGTGGTGTTGGCGGGCTTGGTGTCGGCGGGCTTGGTGTCGGTGGACTTGGTGGTGTCGGTGGACTCGGTGGCTTAGGAGTGTCTACAGGTATGGCAGCTAACCCTGAGTTGCCCGGGTGAAGGCTGAAGGCCTGGTGACACCAACTCTGACACGGTCCCTTCCATGCCAGGTGCAGTGGTGCCGTCCGGAGTCGGGGTCGGAGCTGGAGTGAAGCCTGGGAAAGTGCCGGGTCAGTGTGGAGTCCCTGGGGCTGGACAGCAGGTTCAGGGAGGGGCTGAGGCCCTCACCTCTGTACTGGGTGGGACAGGTGGGGCCTGGCTGCAGCGGGGCAGGGAAGAGCGACCGGCCCAAAGTGTGGGGCCCTGTTCAAAATGGGGAGAGGGACTCCAGCCCACCTTCTGGGCCCTTCTTCCAGGATCTCAGAGATCTCAGAGACAGGCTTGTGGCAGACATCCAGGGGACAGATGGGGACACTGAGGCTCAGCATGGGCGTCAGTGCAGAGGGCCCTTGATGGTCACAGCAGAGCCAGGGTGGCCAGAGGAGCCTTGACTCCCCATCTGGTGCTCATTCCTCTGCACCAAGCCCTTGAGGAAGTGACTTCAGGTTAAACAAAAGCCTGCCTGAGTCCACGCAGCAGGGAAGGAACATCTGGAAGCTGTTAGCCCAGAGGTGGGCTGGGCCGGCCATGTAAACAGGCTCCAGAAGACAAGATAAATCCATGCACAGAAGGGTTTGCAGATGACTCCTGAAACTCAGGGGAGGAAGGCCGTGGCCACAACACATGTCCCCGGCTGTCCTTGCCAGGCACTGGGGTGGCTGGTTTGTGAGGCCTGGAGCTGTGGAGGGAAGGCCAGGGAGGGGTTCCTGGAGGCTGGGGCGCTGCTCACGGCTCCTCCTTCTTTTGGCCACAGGTGTGGGTCTACCAGGTGTATACCCAGGTGGAGTGCTCCCAGGCACAGGTAAAATCACAGAGAAGAAGGAGACCCTCCCTATAGCCTGGAGACCATCTCCTGGTGGCCCCTCAACTCCCTGTAAGCTGAGGCCACCAGAGCATCAAAGCTCAGGCTAAGGGACACAGGGCCAGTCAGCTTCCCCTCATCCTACCAAGCTCCGACCCCAGACCCTGACCCAGATCATTGTCGCAGCCCGAGGTGGGCCCCTGAGGACATACCAAGTCCCCAGTGTAGCCAGCTGATTCCCAAAAGCCATAAGTCACCAGGGAGCCCGCCCAGAGCATCTGCCCAGTAGGAGACCCTCAGAGCTGCCCTCTCACCCTCCTCTCCCTCCAGGCCTGGCCACCCCACCCGACATGTGACCTCCTGAATTCCCCTAAAAGCCCAGACTGGGGCTGCTCTGGGAGATTTGCTGACAGCGTCCCTCCCTCTGTCCCAGGTGGCCCAGTCCCAGGGGAGACAGGAGAGGTGGGAGGGCCAGGCACTGGCAAGTGCGGAGTTCCCGGCCACAGCAGAGGGCTGTGTGCTCGGTTGTGGGCACAGGCTTCCCACTTCCTGCCGGCTTTTACTGTCTGCCTTCTCTGGTAAGGGTGGGCAGGGTGGCCTCAGCTCAGAGACAAGGCCAGCTGAGGCACAAGGTCATACAGCTAGGAAATGGGATTAAAGTCAGATCTTCCGAGTCAGACAGGGAAGAGAAGCCACCACCAAACCGCCCCCATCCCACATGAGCTGTGTCGTCACTGACGGTCAGTGCAGAAGGAGGGCAACTTCCTGCCCCAGGGGTGGTGTGGGAGCCAGGTTGGGCCTTCTAGGCCTGCCTTCCCACCCTCACTGCCAGACCCCCTTCGCTCTCACAGGAGCTCGGTTCCCAGGTGTGGGGGTGCTCCCTGGGGTTCCCACTGGAACAGGAGTCAAGCCCAAGGCCCCAGGTATGTGACCAGTGGGCTGGGGACCCATGGTGGGAACCTGTATCTACCCTCAGGCCCCTACGGAGGGGAGGAGGAGTGGGGCTGGGGACCCTGGGCTCAGGGCCCTCTGGGTGGGCACCCCTTGTGCTCCAGCCTTGGTACTGGTGGCCGAGATGGACAGAACACCTCTCAGAAATCCCAAGTGTGTGTGAGGCAGCATAAACCTGGAAATCTGGGCAGAATTGGCCACTACCCAGCCCTCTGTGCCGCCTGACACCAGCCATTGGTGCCTCGGGCCCTGCGCCCATGGTGAAAGGACTACAGTGATGGCTTCTTGTCATTGCAGGTGGAGGGGGAGCTTTTGCTGGAATCCCAGGTGAGGCAAGGCGAGAATCCCCGGTGGGTGGGCAGGCCAGCAGGGTGGCCAGCCAGGCAAAGGCACTCACCGTGGGCGGGGCGGGGCATTCAGAATCCCATCAGGCCTGTCCAATGCCCCTCATGCCCATTGCTCCAGGCCTTGGACTGGCTCCAAACAAAGTGGTATCGATCACAGTTCTGCTTCCCAGTCCCAACCCCTCATGTGTGGCAGCCCACTGAGTCCAGAAAACCTGCCGGTCTGTGCCAAATGCTGCAAGGGCTGCAGGGCCCAACTGTGGCCCAAGCCCCAGGAGGGGGAGAGTTCTGCAGCTTTCTGCAGGCCATGGCCCAGCACTGGAAGGGCTCAGCTGATCAGTGACAGCAGCAGGAACGCCCTCAGGGCAGGATGGTTTCTGGATGCAGTGGGGCTCCCTCTATCTGAGCAGGAAGTGGGGAGCGAGGCTGGGGGCTCAACGGGAGCTGCTGGCTCAGGTTGCTAGGGCCTGATTTTGTTCTTCTTGTTCTCACAGGAGTTGGACCCTTTGGGGGTCAGCAGCCTGGAGTCCCACTGGGGTACCCGATCAAGGCACCCAAGCTGCCAGGTAAGTCAGAAGGAGGAGTCAAGAGGCACCTCTCACCAGGTCTCACGGCTGAGGAGGCATTTGTGGGGGCACATTTTTGGTCACCGGTGTCTCTTGTGGGGGGTGTCAGGAAACCTGTGTACTGAACCCCACTTCTGGTCGCCAGCAACAAAAAGGATGGGGAAGCCATCCTGCAGGTGCTGGCCTCACTCACATGCACACCTGTACCCACACGCATGCACACACAGGCACAGACCCCTGATAGGAAACCATCGGTGTTGATGGTAAGGAACACTGTTCGCTGAAAAGACCCCTCGGACGTCACACAATGAGCTGTTTCTTATGGGGGAAGGGAGTAAGGAAGCTACTCAGACTCTAGGGACCTGGTGGGGTGCCCCCCTCCCTCTTCCACTCAGGGCCTCTGCTCCCCCTGAGAGCAACCATGGGCTGCTCATGACCCCCGGGAGGGTCTCAGGCCTCAGCAGCTGTGGGAATAGATCTGTCCACCAAGGCAGTGGGAGCCCAGCAAGGCATGGGGCTGCTTTGGGGCAGCACCTGAGCCTACCCTCCCCACCCCTCAGGTGGCTACGGACTGCCCTACAGCACGGGGAAACTGCCCTATGGTGAGTAAGGCCTTCCCAGACCAGTGGGCTTCCGGCTTTTTCCAGATGCAGGGTCCTGGCAAGAGAGCTGCAGCTCCAGCCCAGGGCTAGGAGAGCACCCGCTGGGGGTGGGTGGGGTCTTGGAAAGGGAATTCCCTCAGGAAGGAACATGGAACTTGGACTCAGACAGCTTGGTTCTCAAGCCTGGCCCTCACACTTGCGAGAACCGGCCTCTTCCCTGAGCCTCAGTGTTTTCATCTGTACAGTGGGAGTAACCATCCCCCACACATATTTGAACTTGTTTTAACTCTGACTGGGGGTGACATGGTGGAGACTCTGGGCAGCGCAGCCCCTGAATGGGTAGGGCGGGGGGGGGGGGGGGGC